TAATTTTATAAACATAATAATATTATTTATCATTTATATTTATCTTATTAAAATATTATTTTTTATTTTTTAATATTTAATTTATACAAATAATATAAAAAATACATAATTATTTTTTATTTAGATTAAATTATTTATATTATTTAATTAAAATATTTATATTTATGAAGAAAAAAAACCCTGCACGGATCGCGGGACCGAATACCGATCGGATGGAGAAGGGACAGAGTAAATTGATTCATCTGTGTAATAAAATTGGGGATTATTTTTGTAATTATTTTTAAAAAAATTCTGGCACAGTAAAAAATTCATCGATCGCCATTTTGAAGGGAAGGTAGTGGAGTGTCGTGTGTCGTGTCACTGTTGTTCCCCAGTTCCGTTCTCCATTTGTGTGATTCTCCGTCTTTGAGCCGAAGTTGACCGTTGGAATTCATCCATGGATCCTCCTCTGACCAAACCCTCCTTCAACCCCAACAAGCATCTCAAAGAACAGTTACTCTCTTCGTTTCCTTTCTCCCCTGTCATAGTAATAATCTTCAATTTTCATTATTCATCCCTTTTCCCTCAATTTTACAGATTCGTGAGCAACTTGAGCGGATCCTCTATGCTCGAAATCGCGGCACTCACAGTGACTATCCCCGTGAGTCACCCCACAATTTGCATGCCCCATTTCTTCTTACTAACTTCAATCTCACACCATCGTGTTTGTTTATGTTCCCATTACAGATTCTGGTTCTTATTCGTCACTCCATCTCTTCCACTTCCATTACTGGTCACTCTCTCATAACACTTCAATTTTGAACTTCCCATGTTAAATGCTCAAACACAACATTTTTGGTTATGCTCAAATACTTTTTTTCTTTTTTCTTTTAATTAATTGTAGGTGCCTCTCTGAGGAAGAAAAACGACGATGCACCTTCCGAGAATAGGAGTTTCAAATCACACCTAGCTACATTGTCTCTGGACTTTCTTGTCCTTGTTGTTCCCATGCTCCTATTTTTCACAGTAAGTGCTCCCTAGTAGCAGTAGCATCAAATGTTTTGCCAACAAATAGAAAATGTAGGGCTTGAAAGTAGGGTGTTAAGGGTCTGTTTGGATAAGCTTCTCCTGAAGCACTACTATGAGAGAAAAATAGAAAGGAAAATCAAAATAAGCTTCTCCATAAGCTAAAACTAGCTTATGCATGAGTTAAAAATATGATTTTGGAGAAGCTAATAAGAAAGATCTACTACAAATTAGCTTATGAAAAAACTTATTTCATTTTTCCTTTCTATTTTGTTCTTCTAGAAGTGTTTATGCAGAAGTTTATCCAAACCGTCCATATAACTTGTTTAACTGAAGCTATGTTCATAAAAAGGCTTTTAACTTAAGTTCCAGTCATTTATATTTTGTAATTTCTACTGTGAATTGGTGTCAGGTACTTTCAAACTGGACCTATATCATGGCAAGTTTTTTCACTGTCTCAACATTACTCTATATTGCAGCCAAGAGGTATTTTTGCATTTTTGTGTAGGTCACATCACATCTGTAAGGTATTGAATTTTGGCACTAGCCAGATTTTGTAGATGATGCCTGACCTCTGTATACTTAACTGCAGGTCTGGTTCTTCATCTTCTTTTGATGGAGAGCCAAATTCTCTTCGGGCATATATTACTTCATATAGGGTTATTGTGGTATGAAGTGCCAGTATAGAATTCTTTGTTGTTCTGATCGTATTATGTTTTTATGATAATGAAAGTTATTTTTGCAGATGATCATCACATTCTTGTGCATCTTGGCTGTTGACTTCAGAATATTTCCTAGAAGATATGCGAAGACTGAAACTTATGGAACTAGTTTGGTATGATTCTTCTAAAGTTCTGTTGTGAGAAAACAAATGAGAGACATGTTTTACTGTAAGAGTGTTGGAAAAAAGATTTCATTTAATATGATTTGTATGCTTCCTCCTAATCCAACACTTTTCCCACAGTGGAATTGTTAGGAATCCTTTTGAAAAAGTAAGGGAAAAAGACTGATGGTAATAGCAGAGAGGGAGAACAATAGTAAAAGAATGGTTCCACTGATTTGTTATGAAATAATACTTCAGAAATGTACAAAGGAACACTCTTCTTTCACACAGGAAAATAGTCCTGTCAGTACTATCAAAATTTCACATAAAACCCCTATCATACTCTAAGGGTTTTATTTATAGACTTTTCTGTATCTGTTTGCTAACAGAAATTCTAATTACAGTCAATGGGCTTTTTTCCTTCTGTAATACATTTGTAAGGCCCGTGGCTCTGGTTGTGGTTGGCTTTCTTGCCTATCAATACCTCCCTCCATTGAAGCAACCCTGCCCTCAAGGTTGAAGTCAGGGAATTGGTGTTGGATGGTGGTGTTGTTCTCCCAAGTTGCTTCTTCAGGTGATTTTCCTTGCCATTGAATAAGGAACTGCTGAACTTGTTCACCAAATTTATTAAGTGTGCGGGTTTCTAGAATGTTGTGGGGTTGGTAAGTAGTAGAATCCTCTTGGAGTTCAGTTGGAATTTCCGTGTCTACTGGTTGATTGCCAACTGCTAATTTGAGTTGAGAGACATGGAAAACCGGATGAATCTGAGATTGTTCTGGAGGTTGGAGCTGAAAAGCAACTGCCCCAATCTGTCTAAGAACCAAATAAGGACCATAATAGCGAGCTAATAGCTTAGGATGCAGTTTGGTGGTCATAGAAACTTGCCTAGGGGGTCTGATCTTCAAATATACCCAGTCTCCTGGTTTGATTATGGATGATTTCCTGTGAGTGTTTGCATATTGCCTCATATGGTCTTGAGCCCTTCCCAAATGAAATTTCAACTGATTTAATGCTTCATCCCTCTCCATTAAATCTTGCGCCACTGCCTCTACTAATGTTTCCCCCGGTATAAATCTGGCTAAAGATGGTGGAGGACAAACATACACTACCACAAATGGTGTACAATTAGCTACACTTTGAAAACTGGTATTGTACCAGTATTCTGCCCATGGGATGAACTCAGCCCAAGTCTTGGGTTGCTCTGCTCAGAGACATCGCAAGTACGTCTCTAAGGTTCTATTAAGACCTTCAGTTTGGCCATCTGACTCTGGATGATAAGTAATGCTTATCTGGAGGTGGGTACCTTGTAATTTGAACAATTCCTGCCAAAAGAGACTAAGGAAAGTGGGAGCTCTGTCACTAACAATTAAAGTGGAAGTTCCATGTAAATGAACCAATTCCCTAGTAAATACTTAAGCAATGGAGCGAGCAAAATAGGGATGTTTAATTTGAATAAAATGGATGTATTTGCTTAAGCTGTCCACCACAGCTAGGACAACATCTAGGCTGATGTCTTCCCATATTGCATTCGGAATCGGCAGGGGTTGAAGGATTCCGGCTGGTGAAGAGGCTTGATATTTGTTGCGCTGAAAGACTTGGCAAGCTGTCACAAATTCTGTTACTGATTTTTTCATCCATGAAGAGACTAAACAATTCGATGATAATTGCGATAGACTTTGGAATGTCCTCCCATAGGTGAAGCATGGTACTCTTGTTGCAATTTGGGAACCCAAGCTGAAGACTCTGCCAAAACTAATCTCCCTTTATAATGAAGTGAGCTTGGATCCTTCTCTATCCCCTCAATGATTTTCGAAAGTGTTGCATCAACACTTACCTCCTCATCAATCAACATTATATCTTGCCAAAAAGGTCGGGATAACCCTTGTGACTCCTTTTCCTCATCCTTTCGTGAAAAGGCATCAACTACCTTGTTCGCAGCCCCTATCTTAAACACAATATCAAACTCGTATCCAAGTAACTTTTCCAGCCAATTTTGCTGTTTCTGTGTAGTAATCCTTTGTTCTAATAAGTACCTCAAACACTTCTAATCTGTGTAAACAATAAATTTCTGACCCAAGAGATATGGTCGTCAATGTTGTATGGCAAGAACCAATGCTATTAATTCCTTCTCATAGACTGACTTGTTTAGGGATGAATCTGCTAACGACTTACTGAAAAATGCTATGGGTCTTTTGTTTTGAGACAAAACTGCACCAATCCCTATCCTTGAGGCATCTCATTCTATAGAAAAAGGTTGAGAGAAATTAGGCATAGCAAGCCCTAGAGCTATGGTGACATCTTTCTGAGGCTGCTTAAAAGCCTTAGTACTCTCTTAAGTCCATATAAAATTCCCCTTTTTCAGCAAAATGGTTAGGGGTCTAGCCACTTTCCCGTAATTGCATATAAACCTTCGGTAATAACTTGGGAGACCTAGAAATCCTCTCAAGGCCTTGATGGATTTAGGAATGGGCCATTGGAGGATGGCTTCAATCTTTTGAGGGTCCATGGAAACACCCTTCTTGGAGATATGTCCCAAATATCCCACTTTTGTTTTTCCAAAACTATACCTTTTCAAATTAGCAAAAAATTGATGCTTTAACAACATATGTAAAATTTCTCTTAAATGTGCCATATACTCTCTCCATGATTTACTATACACAAAAATATCATCAAAAAATACAAAGACAAACCTATGAAGGAATGTTCATGGCACATTGGAATGGGGCAAGAGCATTTGTCAGCCCAAAGGGCATGACTAAAGACTTACTGTCCTTGGTGAGTCCTAAAAACGATTTTTGGAATGTTGTCCTTATGCATCCGAATTTGATGATACTCGACCTTTAAGTCAATCTTGGAAATTGTGCACCATTCAACTCATCCAACAACTTATTTGGAATAGCATGTCTATTAAGAGCTCGATAATCTACACAAAACCACCAACTACAATCTTTCTTCTTTACTAATATCATCGGAATTTAATAGGGATATTACTGGGTCTAATAATACATGAAGCCATCATATCTGCTACCTGTTTTTCTATCTCATTTTTTTGGAGATTAGGATACCTACTAGGGTGGACATTCATTGGGTCTACCCCAGTCTTGATAGGTATACGATGATCCACGTTCCTATGAGGAGGCACCTTGTTGTTCAGAAAAAAACCCAATCATATTCTTCAAGAACCTACTCCAATTGCCTCGGTATTCTTTAGGCAAATCACACTAAGTCTCATCTTGATTTTCACAGCATTCTGTCTCCACACCCCATAACACTCAGACTACTTGTATTCCTATCACCTTCATTAGTGCCTTAGGTGAGATCAATGACTTAGATAAACTAGGATCCCCCTTCACTTCCACACTTTGTCCTTGGTTCATAAACTTCATAGTCGGAGTTTTCCAATTCACTTTCACCTCTCACAAGGTGGCTAACCATGCCACTCCCAAAATCAAATCCACCCTTCCAAGCTCAAACAATAAAAAATCCCTTGATAAACCATACTCTCTCAATTGCACATCAACCTCTTTACAACCTCCTTGAGTTTGTTTTTTGTTGCCATCACCTAATGTCACCCTGTAAGGAATTGTTGGTTCCATTGTCAAACCCAACCTTTGCACCAAATTTGATGAGATGAAGTTACGGTTGGCTCCACTGTCAATTAAGACTAACATGGTTTCTCCTAGTACAAACTCTCGAAGCTTCATTGTTTGAGGTTGCATCAACCCACCTACTAACACCTTGACAAATCCATACATTGGCAAGAGACTTCATGGCCTTCGCCCCTTTCTTCCTCACTACCCACCTCACTTTCAATTCTTGCAATCTCTCCATCTTTTGTAACTTGTTTATCTTTTGCCAAGATTACAACCCTCAAGCTCTTTTCTAGGCAATGGTGACCTAATCCATTCACCAACCCACACTAAAAACAATGCCCCTCCTCTCTTTTTCAAACATATTCTTGATAGGGAAGATTACGCGTACTGCTTCTTTGCCTCAATATGCCATTTTCCATTGGTTTGGCTACCGATGACATTGAGGTAGCCCTATTGCCTTCTTGTGTACTCCGCACCTGACTATTGGAAGATTAGGCGCTGTTCACACTCCCAAATGAATTCATGAAAAAAATTTACCCCCACCTTGATACCTGAATCCTAAATTTGCATTCTGATTCTGAGAACCCCTGAAATTGTGTGCCTTTGACATGGTTGCTTCAATGTAACGAGCTACTTCCATGGCTCTTATCAAATCTTTGGGATCATGGGGTCGAACTTGATTCCTAACATCTTAACAAAGCCCCACCAAGAAATATCACAACAACTGCTCTTCGGGTGTCAACGTTGCTTGCGCGACCAATAGCTCATGTTGTTGATCATAATCCTCCATAGTCCTTGTTTGTCTTAGTGCTGCCAACCTCTCATACACTGTACTACGACCATTTCCCCTAAACCTTTGCCAAAGCGCTGTGGATAAGTCCTCCCAAGAAGGATTCTTGGTTTCTTGGCACTATACTTGAAACCAATGGGTTGCATTCCCCTCCATGCTGATGAACACTAATCTCAACTTATCCTGGGTTTGAATGTGTTGTTGCACTTCGAAAAATTTTTCTGCCCTCGCTATTCCAACCCAATGGCTCACTTCCTTCGAAAGAAGGTAACTCCACCTTCTTTAGCCAAGAATAATGATTTTCTTTGACTTCTGGCACTTCATCCTCACTTCTGCTCTATATCATTTTCTTGCCAATACTTTCTGCCTCTTTGAAGTTTATCCCTTGCTTTTGCATCCACTTTTTCAACATTTCTTTAATCTCATCCACACCTTCCACACTCTTCTTGATCTCAGCGATGTGGGAACCTTGTTTGCTGGTTACTTTCTTCAACAGTTCCACGGAGGATTCAAATGCCATGAATTTTGCTTCAATCTTCTCCATTGCTCCTCAAATTGGATCTGACAGGTTGGACCAATTGTTAGGAATCCTTTTGAAAAAGTAAGGGAGAAAGACTGATGGTAATAGCAGAGAGGGAGAACAAAAGTAACAGAATGGTTCCACTGATTTATTATGAAAGAATACTTCAGAAATGTACAAAGGAGCACTCTCCTTTCACACAGGAAAATAGCCCTGTCAATACTATCAAAATTTCACATAAAACCCCTATTATACACTAACTGTTTGTAGACTATTATTTATAGGCTTTTCTCTAACACTTTGCTAACTGATATCCTAATTACAGTCAATGGGCTTTTTTCCTCCTGTAGTACACTTGGTAGGCTTGAGGTTCTGGTCCTGGTTGACTTTCTTGCCTATCAGGAAATCATTGATTAACTTCTGAAGTAGTTTTGTGAGTCAAATTCTTATTTCATGGATTTATTGAAAAATAATATAATTGCAGATAATTTCTCCTGGATTAAAAATACCTGTTTATCCATGAAAAAAAAAATGATTTCAAAACTTGTCAATATTTTGTTGAACGTCAGGGGAGTAGGTTTCCCAAATATCTTGTCTTGACTCTTGAACTTAGATGGTAATGCCAGATTCTATAAGCACAGATTTTTATTTAAGCCGATTATTTTGGTTAGTATTGTCTTCTTCATGAATTCCAGCTCATGGTTTCTTTGCCAATGTCACTTTGTCTGACCTGCAAAGGGATTGGAGGCCTCTTTCAGAACTATTTTCTTTTTCTTCTTTGTGTATTTTGTTTTGTCTATAGGAGGATTCTTGTCCCCTACTATAATGCAATTCTTTTCATAAATGTCTATACTACATTACAGATAGAAATAAAAAGAAATGAGTGTTTTCTTTTTTTGGTTCAGAGTTGGAGATAATGGGATTTTTATTCTACTTATTAATTGGGTCTCCTCTTTTGATGGATTACTTTTTACCCATCGATTACATTTAGTTATAAGTTTTATCCATCTCACACACTTAAACTATATATTGCATTGTCATCTTCACTTACAACATAATGCATTAATTTTGTCTCTCTATATTACTAACAACAAGTACACTTAATTATTTGATTGTTCTGTTGTGATTTGCGATTACTTTTGCATTTCAGATGGATCTTGGAGTTGGAGCATTTGTTGTAGCAAATTCTCTAGTTTCTCGGCAAGCACGTAATATTACAACTTTGTGAGTCATTAAATGCTAATCTATCTGATGTCTTTAGGCTTCAATTTTATTCAAACAGGTCACCAAATGAACTCTTGGAAACTGTATGTATGTTTATCAATTTGCCTAGATGAGTAGATGTAAATTTTCTCGAGTTTTATGAATTATAAGATGTTTAAACTGGATGAGTTAGGGAACTTTTGTGACAAGCCTATACAGCGAAGAATCAATGTGATTCTGAACTTGAACAATGCTGTCAGGCTTTTTCAAACTAAGTTTTTCCTTTCCTCATTCTTTTTATCTGTTCTATTATAACATTGATATCTGTTAGGGTATAGAATAAAGGTAAGAAGAATAGTTATTTAAAACTAAGTTTTTCTTTCCTCATACCAAGGATTTCCCCCTTTTCATCAGAGCCACTCCTCTATTCCCACAAAGACTTACTAATCTCCATACCTCCCCTCTTTCTAGTATCCTCCTATATATTGATATTGCGGACCAGCCCATGATACCCTTCTAATTAATAACTACTCTTATTCTCTTTATTCTATATCCTAATAATATCTTTTATAATGAAGGCAAAAATATATTTTTCGTCCCTTATATTATTTATTAGATTCAATTTAGTCTTACTTTAATTAATTGAATCAATTTAGTCCCATATCTTTAAAATGTATCTCAATGTTTGATTTTCCGTCTCTTCCGTTTAAATACTTAACGGATATGACACGTGTCATGCTGTTATGCCACATGGCTGGACATCATGACACATGGCATGACAACATGACACGTGACATGACACGTGTCAAATTTGTTAAGTATTTAAACGGAGGAAACGAAAAATTAAACATTGAGATACATTTTAAAGATGTGGGACTAAATTGATTCGATTAATTAAAGTGGACTAAATTGACACTAATAAATAATTTAAGGGATGAAAAATATATTTTTGCCTATAATGAACTTGCTCAGATAAACTGCATTATGCATTACTCTGATAATATCACTTTTTTCTCATACTTCAGGAGCTGGAAGATTGCAATAGTTTCAACTAGTCCACTGATCATCTTAGGATTCCTTCGTCTTGTTACAACAACTGGTGTGGATTATCAGGTGGAATTATTTTATTGGGATTCTTAGAAAGTTCCGTGGCAACAGAAATACTTAAACCTGTTTATATCACTACAGTATCATAAGCTTTAACAAGACTAGTCACCTATAGGTTTTTGAAACTTGAAAGTAATACTACATCTACATGGTTCAAGAAGATTACACATAATAATCTTTTGGGCATTATATATCTTATGTCAACCCCCATAATTTGTATATGCCTGAAAATTCTGAATGCCATGCAAGGGAAACGGAGTAGAGCTTATTCTGTAACAAGAGTTCACCTGGCATCTGAATGAAATTATATGTTGAATGCACAATGCTGGTTTATTTTATTTCTTTTTGTTTTTAACTATAATGTTCTCTGCTATGCATTTTTCCTGTTCATAGAATTGAATTCTAATTGTTTAATTTCTTAGTTCAAGATATTCTTAAGGTATTTTATCACATGAATGTTTTTAATTACAATGGATACTGCTATGAAGTTATGCCTTTTTACAAATGATGAGTTATATATAATTGTTTACTGCAAGAGTCGACGTTCTCAAGGAATCCAGTCATCATTTTGAATTCTTATAGGTACACGTGGGTGAATATGGTGTGCATTGGAATTTCTTCTTCACACTTGCTGCTGTGTCAATCCTTACTTCCGTTATTAATATTTCCCCACAATATTCTGGAGTTTTGGGTTCACTTGTCCTAGTAGGTACTTTTATTTTTATATATATATTTTTAATTTCTATCTTATCCTTATGCATTGTTTGTCAGATCTGATTTCTTATAAAGCTTAATTTCTGTTTCCAAGGGTACCAGTTCTGTTTGATGCATGGTTTAAATCATTACTTGCTTTCTAATGAAAGAGGAATGGATATCATAAGTCAAAACAAGGAGGGGATTTTTAGCATATTTGGTGAGGATTGCACCCTACATTTTTAAATATTGATTCTAAAGCTATAACTTCATTGGCAAGTACTTCTAGCTGTTTTACTATTTTCTCTCCAGGATACTGGGGTATGTACCTTCTTGGTGTTCATTTAGGAAACTATCTTTTCTTTGGAAGCCATTCCACTGGATTTAGAAGTAGCAGATGGGTTCGGATGAGGGTTTGGGTTCTCTCCATCCTGCTTTGGTAAAGCTTGATCCAAAATTTTTTATCCTGTTGAATTAAGTCCACAGCTTTGAACTTTTCCTTTTTCATGATGCCCATGTTAGGTTATTAACTGTGCTTCTAGACAGGCATGTTGAAAGAATTTCACGCAGAACGGTATGTCTAACTATGTTATAGTTTCTTAACTAGAGGGGAAATCTTTTAGCATCAATGAATGAAAACTGATTGTTGATACATTGTGCAGTGCAACCTCCCATATGTTACTATGGTATTGGCTGACAACCTACAGGTCAGTTGCACTTCAGTTTCATTTGATGGATGTGTCAAACATAGTGTGATCAGGAATGTTGACTTTGTAGCTTATGATGCACTTGCTGCGTTTTTGAATTAATTTTGGTCTCTATCTTGGTTGCTACTGTTTAAACTTTATTTAGGCAACTGAACTAGTGTAGCATACCAAATCCTGCTATATACAGTCTCCATCAATATCACAATCCTTAATTCACAGCTCAGCATTCTTGATTTATCAATGTTACATCTGATTATGGATTTGATTATTTAATCTGAATATCTCCCTTTTTTCAGCTGTTATCAATTCTAATGCTGGCTGATCTTGTTCCTGGAAGTAAAATTTCAATACTTGAAGAAGCATTCAATCGGAACTTACTGGCTACATTTCTTCTGGTGAAAACAAGATATTCCTTTGTTACAAACATATATGCTTTCTCTAGATGTCGGTTATAATTTCCTCTTATGATTTGTGTGCAGGCAAATGTTCTCACGGGGTTGGTAAACTTGTCTGTTGATACCCTCTCTGCGTCATCAGTCACAGCCGTTTTTATCTTGCTTGTCTATGCCTATATTTTATCAATTGTAATTGGTCTTGCAGATTATTTTGGTTTGAAATTAAAATTTTGGTGAAGCAGAAATTTGCTATGCTGTAGTCTGTTAGATTAGTGTTATCATTCATTTAAAAAATAACATGTCTTTCTCTATTAATCATCAAGTGAATTTACTATAAAACTCGTGTGGCAATAAAGGTAGAAATGATAAAATTCCTACTGCCTTGAACTCAATCTATGGGTTGATAAATACTTCAGATTTTTAATCGTCCTCTGGTCAGCTTGTTTAGGAATACACATGTATGATAAAAATGACGCAGACTGGACAAAACTTATCTTTATGACACGGAAAGCCGTTTTGTTGACCCAAAAGAAAGAGCCATTTCCCGGCACATGCATTGCATGCCATCTCAGCATGGATAACGATTGACCACTCATAGCAAATGCAACTTACAACTCATACTTAGGTGCTTTTGTGTTTCCATGCTTTTCTTAATTTGGCATTCCCTTGGTAGTTTTTATACATGCTTGCACAGTGAAACGGGTAAAATCATGCATAAATCTTTCTAGGCAATATATGTAATGGAAAAAGAAAGGTTGAAACAGACTTATGGGGATTTGAATGTAGCCTAGGTGATGTGGACCTGCATTTGATGTACTTTTTCGAGAAGGGTAGCTTACAGTCACATGGTTAATCCAGCAGTGTCTGACAGCTTGGACCACGCCCCTTGCTCGACCTTTGTCCTTTCGTGTGTCCTCATCAGCACATAAGGCTAAAGTATAAACTCCACTTCGAGGTGTAGCCTATACACACAAGAACTCCACATCAATATTAATACTGAATTATTGATGTGGTTGCCATAAACTATAAGCTTCTACGCAAAGTTGTGCTTAATTTTATTCACCTGCTTCTACACGTTTTTGATCTCACGTATTTGAAATTGGAGTCGAAAGATGTTCCTTGTCAACTATCTTGTGGTCTTGGTCATGGCTATCCTCAGTTTTGAATACAATATGGCGTCGAACTGTAGTTCCCTTGTACAATACAAGTAATAACGGGCTCCGTTGGTCGTTAAGGAAATAAAGTGGATACCAATTTACCAAAAATGATTTCTTCATCACAATTAATTGATAGATTATACCAAAATTATCTTTTTGTGGAGGTAATTTTGTAGATTATAATGACGAGACGACGTTCTAATTAGACCATGCAATTTTAGATACGGTTTAATTGGTATCTCTACGTGTACCATGGAGTAATAAAATCTACCGTAGGATTTTCAACAAGAACAAAATGTTGATATGACTTTGACATGTAGAATGTTGTACCGGTGGATTGTCAAATACATGCAATAGTCTTTTTCTAAATTATTTATATGGGAATCTCGGGTGCGTGAGCCATTCATTTCCTGCAAACCCCAACACAGATTTGAATGTGATGAGTAGCTATTGCACAGCTTGTTATGTTGTTTTTATGCTTATTTCTATATAGATTTGGGTCCCCCACCCTACTCTTCATTGGCATAAGCTGTGCCAGTCTTTGACAGCATCTATGAAATTGGGAAGGAAACCAAAGCATGGATGTGTGAGGAGCCTGTTTCCTTTTACTACACCTTTCTGATTCCTGAAAAGCACAAGACCTTTTCTGCCCTTCTCACGTGCTGCGCATCCTCTAATCTAAATTAACTCTTTTTCCAATATTAAACTTCCATCCTCCTCTTCCTCTGTGACTCAAACTGCATCAACCAAGTTAGTAAGATTTGCTATAAATGCTTGTCATGTCTAGTAGAAACTCGTGAAAACTCTGGTGCTGATTTGGTTCTCTCAGATAGAAGGGAATTCACATAAACTTAAGTTGAAGAGAAGGGAGCATAATGGCTTTGGAAACTCTTTCATCCAACGAGTTTTCCAACTTCATATTGTATGACACTATCTCTGCAACTCCATATACCAATCATGATTCTTCGGAGGCTAGTTTCTTGGAAAGTTTAGTGAACTATCAGGAGCATGACCCTGCATATGATAACTATGCAATGAGGACCCGAAAGCGCCAAGCCAGCGAGCCAGAAATCATTGGCAAGAAGCAGAATGTGGTGGGGGTGCAAAGTAGGAAGAAGAGGAGAAGGAAGCCAAGGGTTTGCAAGAACAAGGAAGAGGCTGAGACACAAAGAATCACCCACATTACAGTGGAAAGAAACCGCCGGAAGCAGATGAATGAGCATCTTTCTGTCCTCCGTTCACTCATGCCTGAGTCCTACGTCCAAAGGGTTTGTTTCAATTTCATGCTTCCTTCTTTTTCATAAAGAAAGTAGTTGGGTTTTTTTACAAAAATCACTACCATTTTATGGTCAAATTAGTGGAGATGAGGAGATTCGCTTTTAACGATTATGCTAACCAGTACAATGCTGAAATAATGCAAGAATACTCTAAACTTTATATCTGAGCTGGAATAACTATACAGATTGCTCTTTGTACTTTGTTTTTTTTTCCTTTTTAAGGTGAAGAAAATGCAGTACTAAGTCTAAGTTGTAACCCGTTTCTAACGGTGCCAAATAATTGAAACTTTGAAATCAAACATGTTTTTGCATTCATACTTTGGCCACTGGAAGTGCTTCATGTATAAACATGTACTTCTCCATGCAACTAATTTTTTCAGCATGCAAATTTTTTGTGTTTTAGGGTGACCAGGCCTCTATAGTGGGTGGTGCCATAGAGTTTGTGAAGGAGCTGGAGCACCTCTTGCAATCACTTGAAGCTAGAAAGCTGCAACTTTTACAGCAAGAAGTGGCACAAACCAATGAAAATACGGCGATTTCCAAACTCATGCAACCACCTTTTGCAGAATTTTTTTTGTATCCTCAGTACACATGGTCCCAGACTCCTAACAAATACACATCAAAGACCAAAGCTGCCATAGCTGATATCGAGGTCACTTTGATCGAGACCCATGCAAATCTTCGAATTCTCACAAGGAGAAGCCCTGGGCTACTAACAAAGTTGATTGCTGGTTTTCAAACACTTCATCTCACCATCCTACATCTCAATGTCACCACCATAGACCCTTTGGTCTTCTATTCCATCAGTGCTAAGGTATGTAATTAATTGACTATCAATTATAATCAACTATTCATATATATAGTATTGTGTCAGGTTCATTTTCCACCTTGTCTCAACTTCTTATAATAAATGCAGTAGAATGATTCTTTCCACTTATTCAATTATGACGTCATTTAGAGAGTTTGTTTAGCTAAAATGTGACTTTTTTAATGAAGGTTGAAGAAGGATTCCAACTTGGTTCAGTAGATGGTATTGCAACGGCAGTTCATCATTTGCTTGCAAGAATTGAAGAAGAAGCTTCCCTTTGTTGTTGATCATGTTCACCAGGGACACGATATTCTGGTGAAATGACCAAATCAACCCTCAAGAGAGTGAGAGAGAGAGAGAGGGAGGAAAAGAATATTTACTGATGGCTTTAGTTTTTGTTTTTGTTAGTTCGGTGTCCAACTGATGTGTTAATGCTAAACTATAGTTGCAATAGATGGTGTTTTGGTTGCTTAAAGTATAACTTGTTTGGGAATGGTTTGCTCAAAATTCGACACACTAGTTTCAAAACCAAATGAATTTTCTTTTGATACAGTTTATCTGGTTTAATTTGCGGTTGAGCTATATTTTCCTCTTCAGTGGCCCAACATATGAAGGTCGTTGTGCAATGAGGATGATAATCTTCATATGACAAAAATATTTTATTATTCATTTTTGAAACATCTCTTATATTATTAAGAAACGAAAAGCATGGTTAATCAATTCATTTGAATGGTGAACTAAATTATTATAGGCAAATACGAGCCAAAACTTTCATCATCATGCTCATTTTTGTCTAGTATATGGATGCTTCTATTTTAGAACAATCACGCACAGTCGTGGATTAATCCTTGTTTGGGCGATAATGCACTTGAGAGTTGACGCACTTAAAAGGAGGTTCTACCCTATATCAGGGGAGGTAAAAGAAAACAAAATTTGCCCATGTTGGCGTCGTGGCTACATTTATAATTTTTGTTGTTTTTTGGTTATAGATGGGAGATGGTGAAATTGTAAGATACATGGACTGATTTTTGCAGCAAGATAATATAAGCAAATATATGTGAGGTTAGTTTTAAAGGTAACCATTTTGGATTTATGTGAGGTTGCAAGTGGGGTACATGGTTACTTCTTTGCAAACATTATAAGTTGGAAACATTGATAAAAAAAGATAAATGGTTGACCATGCTAACTTGGGGTTGATTAGTTCTCCTTATTGTTATGTAATATATAATTGAATCATGGATAATATTTTCTAACTGTTCACGTGTGGAAGAACTTTTCCCCATCCAAACTTTGATTTATTTTAATTTATTTATGTAAAATAGAAAGTTTTTTTTATTTTTTTTATTATTTTTTTTATTTTTTATTTTTATATAAAGATAGGAAAGATTACAAAGATGATCGCAATGAGGATTGAACCTAGGTCCTCATGTTTCTGACTATCTCAATCCTTCCCTACCTAACTACTAGGCTAACTCTAGTGATCTAAATAAAAGGAGTTTAATGTCATGCATGTGACAGTAATTTTACAGTACTCTTAACTAATAAGATCTTAGCATTGATACGATTATTTATTTATTTACTATAAATAATTTATCATAAATGGTATTGTGGGATCAAATAATATTTTAAAACTAATTTATATTGTTTCAACTATTTTCCGAAAAAGAAGACCTGTCAAAGCCAATTGAATTTTGCGTTTGCGTGCTAAACATGAAAATTAATGGGAACTTTAAAAAGGTACACTGAATACATATTCTTGCAATATTTTGTTTTCACGGTATAGAAGAGTTTAATCACTATATAGTATAAAACACTTTTCTTAAACAATTAAAATGTAAATTAATTAAATTAAGTTTCTTTAAATACAAATTTACAAGTATTTTTTGAGTGTTTCTCTATTAAAAAGATATTTATTATTTTTAGTAAAATAATTCTTAAAAACACTTATAACTTGTATTTAAAGAGAATCTTAGACAAGTTAAATAGTCCTTTGAAAACCAAAAAAACTGTGCTAGAAAATGATATAACTAAAATTAATTTTTTCCATGGTGATTAATTAATAAATGATATATGAAATACTGCTCTCATTGCTAAACCATTGTAAGAATCTATTACAGGAAGAAACAATTGATGGATTTTGAATTGCAGTATATCTTCTTTTTATGCTTATCTTCTTGCTGAGATTGAATACATTTTCTTGTTCTTGAGATTAAGGAACGAAGGGAGTGAGTTTGTGTTTACCTGAGAGTAAATTTCATTTTACGATTCACTGCGGCCTAGTTTGCATATTGGGGTACGTGATATGATTTATTTTATTATATATATATATATATA